GGGAAATTATCAAATGTTTTAAACTAAATAAAAATGAAAACACAATATATCAGAATTTGTGGGATAGCAGTACAAGCAGTACCTACGAAAGAATTTACAGCACTAAATAAATATATTAGAAAAGAAGAATGATCTAAAATTAATGACCTCAGAGATCATACTAAAAACTTTAAAAGCCTGTAATTCTAGCACTTTAGAAGCCTGTAATTCTAGCACAAAGCAGGTAGATCACTTGAGCCTGCGAGCTCAAGACCAGCCTGGGCAACATGGTAAAACTCTGTCTCTACAAAAAATACAAAAATAAGGCAGGCGTGGTGGTACATGCCTGTAATACCACCTACTTGGGAAGGTGAGGTGGGAGAATTGCTTAAGCCAGGGAGGTCAAGGCTCCCATTTATTTGCATGGTTTTATGGCTACAGCATATTCTTCACTCATTGCACACATGACAGACACATCTTCACCTGCATTGTATTTTCCTTGTATTTATTTGCCTACTTCACCTTCTGGCAGTTTAAGATCCTCAGGAACTTCATCGGTTTCTGTCGGCAGGGGAAGGCAACTATTTTGAATGCGTATCAGTTGATAATCATGTGTCTGAATATTTGGAACACCCATGTTGTGAACAGAAGGACAAATATCTTTTTTTTTTTTTTTTTTTGCCCATGAAAATAGCAATTCCAACAAGATGAACCTTGGCACGACCATGTTTTCCAGTAAGTTGACTCCATATATGGGCTTTACACAAAACTTTATGACAATAAATATGGTAACTTAGATTAAGCAAATTTCTTGAAAGATACAAACTACCAAAGGCTTTACCAAAAAAAAGAACAGGGTATAAGTTAATAACTCTATATTAACTTTAAATAATATGTAACTTGTTAAAAATTTCTAAAAAAAACTACCAGCTTACAAAAAAAAAAAGGTAATATGAATAACTCTATATCCACTTTAAAAATTGAAGCCTTGTTTAAAATTCTCCCACAAAAAACACCAGGTCCAGATGGCTTCATTAATGAATTCCAACACTGACAGTAAAAAAAAAAAAATCAGTTCTACACAACTCTTCCAAAAATATGAGGATAAAAGACTTCCCAATTCATCCTATGAGACTTGATAGTTCTATCAATGCAAAAGATAGAATGCAAAAAAAAAAAAAAAAAAAAAAGACATTAAAGAAAACAGTGTTAGGCATGATGGTGCATGCCTGTAATCTCAACTACTTGGAAGGCTGAAGCAGGAGAATCACTGAAGCCCAGGAGATTGAGACCAGCCTGGGCAACACAGTGGGATCCACTCTCAAAAAAATTTTTTTAATGAGAAAGAAAACAATGTCCCTCATGATGTAATTCACATTAACAAAGTTAAAAAGAAAAATCATCTCAGTAAGACACAGAAATAACACGTGACAGAATGAATTTTTACATCCATTCCTGAAAAAAGATCTACACAAGCTAGGAATAGAAGGAATCAAGCTCAATTTGATACAGAATTTACACAAAACCAACAGCTATCATTGTAACTTAATGGCTAAAAACTAAATGTTTTCCCCTAAGATTAGAAACGAGACAAGGACGTTGCTTTCAACCACCTCTATTCAACATTATACTGGAGTAGCCAGTGAAATCAAGCAAGAAAAAAAAAAAGACATCCAAACTAGAAAGGAAGAAAAACTTTTTATTTACAGACATGACTGACTATATGAAAAACCCAATGGAATCTATAAAAAAGTTGGTGTGGGGGTGGGCAGGTGCGGTGGCTCATTCCTGTTATCCCAGCACTTTAGGAGGCCAAGACAGGAGGATCACTTGAGCTCAGGAGTTCAGGACCAGTCAGCCTAGGCAACATAGCGAGACCTCATCGCTACTAAAAAAAAAAAAAAAAAAGTAGCCCAGCATAGCGACACAGGCCAATAAGGCCAGCTACTCAGAAGGCTAAGGAGGGAGGATCACTCGAGCCTGGAGATTGCAGCTGCGGTGAGCTATGATGACATCGCTACACTCCAGCCTAGGCAATAGAGGGTGACCTCGTCTCAAAAAAAAAAAAAAAAGGTTAATGGCACTAATACTTAAGTCTAGCCAGGTTGCAGAAGATCAACATGTAACTATCAACTGTATATCTATATACTAGCAACAAACAATTGAAAATTGTAGAACACCATTTATAATAACATCCTCAAAAATACTGAGAGATAAATCTTACCAAGATATAAAAGATCTGTACACTAATAACTATAAAATACTGCCAAGAGAAATTAAAGAACTTAATAAAAAGTTAAACACATACTTATCATCTGATCTAGTCATTCCATTCCTAGATAATTACTGAAGAGAAAAAAAGTATGTCTATATGAACTTGAATATAATAGCCAAAAATTAAAAACAACCCATATATCCATCAACAAGTGAATAGATTTAAAAAATTGTGATATCCAATGGAATACTATTACCTTAGCAACAAAAAGGAATGTGTTATTGACACATGCAACAACATGGATAAATCTCAAAATAATTATACCAAGTGGGAGAAGCCAAATATAAAAGGGTACATACTATGTGGTTCCATGTACATAAAATGGTAGAAAAAGCAAACTAATCTACAGTGACAGAAAGAACTTAACTGATTTCCCATATACGGGTGGGGTGTATATGGGAAGGAGTGTGAAAGAGGGATTACAAAGAGGTATGAAGAAACTTTGGGAATAATGGATATGTTCAGTATCCTGACTGTGGTGGTTTCATGGGTATATACATGTCAAAGTTTATCACATTGTACACTTTAAATATACACAGTTTACTGTATTTCAATTCTACCTACAAAATACCTTTTAAAAAGACAACTAAGTAATATTACCTTTTCCTTTCAGGTCTAAAACCAACACTATATTCCCTTTCCTTTTTTTTTTTATAAATTGACAAGCAAAAATTGCATATATTTATGGTATATAACATGATGTTTTCATATGTCTGCAGTGTAGAATGGCAAAATCAAGCTACTTAATTTATGTATTACCTCACAATACTTATCATTTTTTGTACTGAGACTAGTTAAAATCTATTCTTAGAAATTCTCAAGTATAGGCTGGGGGCAGTGGCTCATGCCTATAATCCCAGCACTTTGTGAGGCCAAGGCAGGTGGATCACCTGAGGCCGGGAGTTCAAGACCAGCCTGACCAACATGGAGAAATCTTGTCTCTACCAAAAATACAAAATTAGCCAGGTGTGGTGGCGCATGCCTGTAATCCCAGCTACTCGGGAGGCTGAGGCAGAAGAATCCCTTGAACCCAGGAGGCTGAGGTTGCAGTGAGCCGAGATTGCACCATCGTGCGCCAGCCTGGCAACAAGAGCGAAATTCTGTCTCAAAAGAAAAAAAAGAAAGAAAGAAATTTTTTTTTTTTTTTTTTGAGATGGAGTCTCACTCTGTCACCCAGGCTGGAGTGCAGTGGCCAAATCTCGGCTCACTGTAAGCTCCGTCTCTCGGGTTTACGCCATTCTCCTGCCTCCGCCTCCCGAGTAGCTGGGACTACAGGTGCCCGCCACCTAGCCTGGCTAGTTTTTTGTATTTTATTTTTTAGTGGAGACGGGGTTTCACCGTGTTAGGCAGGATGGTCTCGATCTGCTGACCTCATGATCCGCCCGTCTCGGCCTCCCAGAGTGCTGGGATTACAGGCGTGAGCCACCGTGCCCGGCCTGAAATTTTCAAGTATATAATGTATTGTTACTTACTATAGTCATCATGATGTACAACAGATCTCTTGACCTTATTCCTCCTATATAACTAAAAAATTTGTGTCCTTTGACCAATATCTCTCCAATTCCCTCAGCCTTTAGTAACTACCACTTTGCTCTTTGTTTCTATGCATTCAACTTTTCAGATTCCACATATAAGTGAGATTGTGGAGTACTTATCCTTCTGTATTATCCTTTGGACATTGGATGGTATTACTTGTAAAACATTCCACAACCAAACATTTTTTTCCATATTCTCTACATTATTACAAGTTTCAATGCTAGGCACAGCTGTTAAGCTTGCAGAAATACAAATACATCAGCAAAAATATTCTCACCAACCATCACAATGCAGTTACGGACAGGACCTGCCTCTGCTTTCTCCCCTTACAGGAGGATATACAATGACTACAGTCATCTCTTTCTTTGCATCATTAATGACCCAAAGACACTCACTTAAAAAAAAAATTACCACTGTCACACTCCTCAATCTTCCACACCACCTTTTTTGCTTTCCCATCCTCCAGTTCCTCTTGGTTACTAAAAATAATGTCTACACTTCTATTTAGTTTTACTCCATCTTCTCACATCTATCAAATATTTTTTAAAGATATGTTTAAGAATAAGAACAGTATTTTTCTTTCTTTTTTTTTAAATTGCTGCTCCTTGTGGAGCAGGGCTACCCTGCAGGCAGTGTGCCCAGAGTAGCAAGAACAGTATTTCTATAGCTTCTCAGCCTTCTGGCTAAGATCAAGTGTAGTTCTGTTTTTATAAGTTTAATATCTGGAATGTCTTCTATCCAAAGACAATTTTGTTTGTTTTGTTTTTGAGACGGAGTTTCGCTCTTGTTGCTCAGACTAGAGTGCAATGGCATGATCTCGACTCACCACAACCTCCGCCTCCCGGGTTCAAACAGTTCTCCCGCCTCAGCCTCCAGAGTAGCTAGGATTACAGGCATGCACCACCACGCCTGGCTAATTTTTTTTTGTATTTTCAGTAGAGACGGGTTTCTGCATGTTGGTCAGGCCGGTCTGGAACTCCTGACCTCAGGCGATCCACCTACCTCGGCCTCCCAAAGTGCTGGGATTACAGGCACGAGCCACTGCGCCCAGCTCTAAATGAGTTTCTGAAGCAGGGAGATGGAATAGGATCTTGCTTGATCTACTCCACACATTGATCTGGTATTGCAATACCTCCAGGAATGGTGCACCCCCCACCTCAAAGGATAAAAATTAAAATTAAAATCAAAAACAAGATTTCTATATATTTACCTCAAGTACTGGTCCAGCTCCAAGAATAATCTGTTCTACTCCACTGACAAATCCTTTCTGACTGAGAGCGGTAAGGTGGTGAATAAGAAAGTTTGTGCTTTGAGTCTTCCCAGAACCACTCTCTCCCGAAATCACGATGCACTGATTCTTTTTGCGCTGAAGCATGGCATGATAAGCTACATCAGCCACAGCATAAATGTGGGGCTCAAGTTTTCCCAGTTGGTGGTTATCATACATTTTGACATATTTGGGGTTATAAATAGGAAGAAACTTGAATGGGTTAATAACTATTAGAATACTGCCAACATAGGTATAAATTTTTTCATGCTTAAAGCGATTTCGTAGGTTTTCTAAGAGAGTTTTCTCATTCAAATCAGGTAAACTACATAAGTCATCAAAGTCTTTCTGTTGAGGCTGTGGAAGAAAACCCCGTTCCATCATCCTGCGACGTTCTTCTGTTACCCGTAGCCATGACTGCAGGCTACCATAATGGATCGATCCATCAAGGTTTTTCTCTCTCAGAAGAAAGCGGTAGTCCTCTCCACTTAAGCGATTTTCCAGAGCCATTCGGGGCCACAACATCATTCGCTGAACTGGACAGTCTGTTGGATTGAGAATCCATTCTTCTCCACCAAATTCCTTTACCTCCGCTAGAACATAACATTTTGTTTTGTCAAGATGAAGTTTGTTTATAAGAGACTCAATCACCTCAGCAGCTGTGGAGTTTTTTCTGGCAGGAATAGGACAGTAGATTGTCCCTTCCGAAATAGTCCCAGGATAGATCCGTAATGTATGTTCATTATCTTCAAAGCGTCGTCTTCCTCCATCATTTATATTCATATTGGATCCTGTCCCATCAGCATGGATAGTATATGTTCAAAGTCATGCAAACCATTTTCTTGGTAAAATAACTGTAACATAAAAGATGCAAAATATTTAGAAGTAAATATGCATTGCTTTCTGATGTTCAAGAAAGAAAAGCTTAACAAGCATGTTGATTACATCTTCTAAAACACAAAATACTAACTTGTGTCTTAGCACAGCAACAGTTTCATTGAGACCACATAATATTAAGTTTCACTGTCCAAATTTAGGCACTTTCTAAAAATAGTAACTTGCCAAAAAAACATATATTTCAATGTTTTATTATACAAAAATCCAAAGAGTAGAAAGAAAAATGTTTCCCCTGCTGTCTCAAATGTTTTTAAAGAAATTGTGATTAGAACCAAGTTCTTTCCTTATACTTAACAAAGACTGGATTAAGACAGAATAATCATGCAAATCTAATTGCCCTGTACCCAAAATTTCTTAAGGATAAAGCAAAAACAAGAAAGAATTCCAACAATGGAGCAAACATTTTGTTAAATTTGTTAAAAACAGTAAGAAGATGGATAAACAGAGAAATTACATAAAACCAAGAAAATGGTGAGAGAAACCAACTAAAGAGATAGACATATATTTTCAAGGAATTCTAGGTTCTGACTCCCTCCCTCCCACAAAGTGGGAAGAAGGGAGTTTGGCAAGAGCAATAAAAGAATCCTTCCCCCGACTTGCTGAGTAAATTTAACAAAATTATACAACTAGGCACCACTACAAATTTTATTCAGCTTCCCTTTGTCCTTCAATGCTACCACCATATCTTTTTACCTAACCTTATTTATTGCATTCCTTACAAGTATTCTGCATTTTCTTCCCATCTTCTCAAACCTCATATACAGTATATCACACTTCTAGAAGAATGATTTCAACTTTTATACCTCACTGAGAAAATAGTGATTTCCTTCAAATGGCTTCTCCAACTCAAAATTTATTCTTATCTTTACCTCATCTATCTTATTCCATTCCTGTCTTCTACTGAGAAAATATGCCCCACACACTTTCCAGGGCTGATAAAACCTATTTCTTATCATCTTCATTAGTTAGTTATATGCCCCCCAAAAAAACCACTCTCATGTGTCATCAATATTTCCCTTATTTATTTCATCCTTTAACATATAAGGATGATGTGCTATTAAAAAAATAATAAGAAATACTTTCAGTTACTTCCCTTTTTTTGTTTTTTGTTTTGTTTTGTTTTTTTGAGACAGGGTCTTGTTCTGTCGCCCAGGCTAGAGTACAGCGACGTGATCTTGGCTCACTGCACCCTCCATCTCCCTGGCTCAGGTGATCCTCTCACCTCAACCTGGCTGGGACTACAGGTGTGCGCCACCTTGCCTGGCTAAATTTTTGTATTTTTAGTAGAGACGGGGTTTCAACATGTTGCCCAGAGTACTCTCTATCCTCTCATATTACTATATATTTGTCAGTCTTCTAATCAAGAAACTATTTTTTCCCTTTTGCCAAGATGGTCTTTCAAACACAGAGATTAATACAGAACATACAAAAAAAACCCAGACATATAGGCCAGGTGGTGGCTCATACCTGTAATCTCAGCACTTTGGGAGGCCAAGGCGGGCGGATCACCTGAGGTCAGCAGTTCCAGATCAGCCTGGCCAACATGGTGAAACCCTGTCTCTACTAAAAATACAAAATTAGCCAGGCAAGGTGGCACGTCCCTGTAATCCCTGTTACCCAGAGGCCTGAGGCAGGAGAATCACTTGATCCTGGGAGGCAGAGGTTATAGTGAGCTAAGGTCGCACCCCTGCACTCCAGCTTGAGTGACAGAGTGAGACTCTGTCTCAAAAAAAAAAAAATTTTTAAAAAAACTAGTTAGGAAAGGATAAACATTTCACTGTGGTACTGGTTCAATTGCTAATCTGAGTTGAAGTGAAGAAAATTAACAGTCCTATCTCATAGCATACTAAAAATAGATTCCATCTATGGATTTGTACCTATCAATCTGTTCTGGGCTCTATATTCTATTCCATAGGTCTATTTTTCCACCCCGAACCTCTGTTAATTACTACAGTCCTATAATAAATTTTGGTATCTGAAGGGCACATTACCTTAATGTGTTGTTCTTTACAAATTTTACGTTGGCCATTTACTCTACCATAAAAATGTTTAAGTTCACATGTTTACTATCATGAATAAAAATCTTTTCAGATTTTAATACTGCATTGATTTTACAGATTAATATTGGACATAACTGACATCTTATTGACTCTTCTCATTCATGAACACCATGCTGTTGGCTTTTAAAAATTACAACTATATTTTTCACTTCTAAAGTTTTTGTCATTTTCAAATCCACCTGATCTTTTTTCTGCCAGTTTACATTCCGAAATTATTTATACTTAAGGGCTATTACTCCTTTTCTTTTTGAAAATCCTGAGTATGTAATTTAATATTTTTCAGACTAACATTGAAACGTCATCCAGACTGAACTGCTCTTCTGGTTGTTTATTTCATATCCTCCTTAGCATGAGATGACTTTGTATGTTTGAGAATTTAGCTTTACAAGTGGACTTTTGATGGAACTTCTTTTGTTTTTCATACAAACACTTACTGAGAACCTGTTTACTACTTTTTTAAGAGAACCACAGTATCATAAATATATTTTTTAACTAAAAATTTTTGGTATTAAATGATCAATTGATATTCAAATTTCCTCAGTTATCTCATAAACAGTTTTCTTACAGATAGTCTAGATGAAGATTCTGCTCTACAATAACAGTGAGGATATACTCTGAGTTACCAGGTTCCTAGTTGTATAGCTATGTTTAGTTTCCTGAATCCCTAAGTATTTGGTTCATATAAGCTATGGCATCTGGCAGCAGTCAGCAGCAAATCTTCTTACAGCCAGAGAGGCTGTGACCTGTACCACTCCAGAAGATGTGCTAAGTCAAGGGGTCCCCAACCACTGGGCCATGGACCAGTGACAGTCCATGGCCTGTCAGGAATTGGGCCGCACAGCAGAAGATGAGCAGCAAGCGAGTGAGCATTACTGCCTGGGCTCTGCCTCCTGTCAGATAGTCAGCAGCATTAGATTGTCATAGAAGCATAAGCACTATTGTGACCTGCACATGCAAAGGATCTAGATTGCATGCTCCTTATGAGAATCTAACTAATGCCTGATGACCTAATACCTGATGATCTGAGGCAGACTAGTTTCATCCCGAAACCATCCCCTACTACCCCATCTGTGGAAAAACTGTCATCTATGAAACCAGTCCCTGGTGCCAAAAAGGTTAAAGATCACTGTACTAAGTAACTACAATCTAATCCCTAAAGTTATATAATATGGCAGCCCTGGAAGTAAACTCAGAAACATCTTTTTTTTTTTTTTTTTTTTTTTGAGACGGAGTCTCGCGCAGTGTCACCCAGGCTGGAGTGCAGTGGCGCGATCTCGGCTCACTGCAAGCTCCGCCTCCCAGGTTCACGCCATTCTCCTGCCTCAGCCTCCGAGTAGCTGGGACTACAGGCGCCCGCCACCACGCCCGGCTAGTTTTTTGTATTTTTAGTAGAGACGGGGTTTCACCATGTTAGCCAGGATGGTCTCAATCTCCTGACCTCGTGATCCACCCGCCTCGGCCTCCCAAAGTGCTGGGATTACAGGCTTGAGCCACCGCGCCCGGCCTAGAAACATCTTTTTTAACAGAGGAGTCCTATCTTGGTCCACTGTTTCCAACAATAAGCCCAACTCTAATTACACTTCCCTATTACTTCAAAGCAGCCAAAACCTCACCTGCTCCTTCCTGAAACACAGAAATGTTTACGTTTTTTGAGCCCTAGTTTTGTCAGTTTGGTTTTATTTTTGTTATTTTATCAATTACTGCTTTGTTTTTTTGGTTTTCGTTTTACAAAAAGGAGGGTTTGTCTCAAAATACCACTCAGAAATCCATCTTGATCACAAGCCAGTCCTTGCTAAAATACTTCAAAAATCTGTATTTGCAAATGCGAGACATGAGCTTTCATTAAAATCATCCGGGGAACTTTTTCAAAACATATATTACCGGCCAGGCATGGTGGCTCATGCCTGTAATCCCAGCACTTTGGGAGGCCCAGGCGGGTGGATCACGAGGTCAGGAGATCAGAACCATCCTGGTTAACATGGTGAAACCCCATCTCTACGGACAATACAAAAATTAGCCAGGCGTGGTGGCGGGCACCTGTAGCCCCAGCTACTCGGGAGGCTGAGGCAGGAGAATGGCATGAACCCAGGAGGCGGAGCTTGCAGTGAGCCAAGATCACACCACTGTGCTCCAGCCTGGGCAACAAGAGTGACACTCCATCTCTAAATAAATAAAATAAATAAATATTTTTTTAAATGTACATTACCAGGCTCAACAATAGTTATGAGTTGAGGAAATGTAGGTAATTCTGTTATTGCTGATCCAGAAAATAGTATTTGAAAATCACTGTATTCCCAAGTGTTTGGGAACTCACTTTCTACTCCCTTACCACTCTTCCCACATAGCAAGCTACCTGACAATGCTCTGGAAAAGTCGCGAAATTCCAGAGTTGGTAATCCAAAGGTCTTTCCTCATTCTTCACTATGGCATGACTAAAGCAGCCGATTTCTAGTTCTTGAAAGTGTCCTCACATAGTTATTTTTCTTGTAGTCTTCCTCTTTTTCTTACTCCTACAGCTCCTTTTCCATTAACTCATTTTACTTTGTTGTTGTTTTGTTTTTGTATTTGTTTTTGTTTTATAGAGCCAGGGTCTGTCTCTGTCATGCAGGTTGGAGTACAGAGGCACAATCATGGCTCACTGCAGCCTCAACCTTCTGGGCTCAAGTGATCCTCCTGCTTCAGTCTCCCGAGTAGTTGTGACTATAAGTGCGTGCCACCAAAGGCAGCAGCGGCCCATCAACAGCGGCCACTGCCATGACACCAGCTGCAGTAGGGGAGGTGCAGCCAGAACTGCATGCTCCACGGAGGCAGCAGAAGCCAGGAACAGGTGGGAGCCCCGCCACATTCTGAGTTGACAGGGCAGGAGTTTCGCGCTCCCTGGGTGCAGCTGTGGCCAC